GGTTTAGTTACGGAACTGCCAACATCTAAGGGAAAAAATAAGCTAAACTAATCCGGTTCGGAATACATCCAATATCTCATACATTGTTGCAAAATTACAATCTTTTTCCCTATAGGCCCTTTTTTTTAGAAGACACTTTCTCGGAATCTGGTCGGATATCCGACTCGAAGAAACTGCCTTCTCGGATATCCAATTGGATACCGGATATTTAATGTTACATTCTGTCCGGATATCCGATATCCGGTAATTTTATCCGATGCATCCATAATATCGATTTCGTAAATTTTCATAAAATCCTATAGATATAAGATATAAAAGAAAAGAGTATCAAATATATAAGAGACTTACTTATTAAAAGCACTCGTGTCACTGACGTTCCTTCTATGACGTGAGGACGATAATGTCGGACTGTCAGGCGGAGATATGCTCGAACTTATATTTTGACTCAAACTTTCTGTCTTATTAACCGGTTTCGGCAAAGCCGATGGTGTCACCGTTGATGGAGTCGCCTTGTTAGGCCCCGTCGGAATGGATAATTTCGACGGTAATGAAGTGACTGGCGGATACTTGGATGACGATGGGTAACTAGGATTAGACAGTTTCGGAAGAATCTTGCCGGGTTTCGGTGCAACAGGAGGTGGTATTTTGGCAGGTGGCGGCATCGCTCTTGCGTCGTCCTTGAACGGATCTGGATACCCTGTAAAAGCGGCAATGTGATAAAAACATCATTCAATCATTTTTACTTTATTTGCTTTTACTTCGTGGTACTTCGATGTGTCGTTACACTTAGATTACCTGACGGCGGAAATAGAGCTTCCAAATTTTTCTCGTTTACGTTCGTCGTAGCTCTCGCGTCGTGCTGCCTCGAATCGAAGTAAAATGCATTTTTATCTTGAACGGTAACGGGTGATTGCTGAGTTAAAGGAGAATGACTAATCATTGGGCTCTGTGATTGACCGTACTGCGACGGCTGTCCTTGCGACTGGCCAAAGGGAATATTTTGACTGGGGGTGCAAACGTGTGGCGATACCTGATAGAACGAAACGATATTAAGCATTTGCTGAAGATACTTAAACATTTTCGTATATTTCAAGCAGAGAAATCGAGCACGCAAGCGATTTGTTAACCTTACTTGAACATAAGAGATAGAATTTGACGGCGTAGTTTGCGTCTGATTTCCTTGGCCTGATATTTGTCCTACGATTTGACCACTCAAATTGATCGGTCCCGTGCTAACGGCTTGCCCCTTTGGTCTTTGCCTTGGCGTCACAGATGTGCCCTCAACCGTCGTTGATATAGGCGTAGGTTTCGGAGTTTTTACAGATGCCGATCTTTTAATATTTTCGGATTCCATAGGTGGGCATGATAATGATTCTAGCGTTGGGGTTGGGACTTTCTGTAAAGATAAAGTAGCAAGAACTAACGTAAGTTATTAAAAAAAAAAAAAAACAATACATAAGAGATACGTTTGATATAAATTTGCAATACTATTATAGTTGTGTGAATATTACAATGTACATACATGTAAATTTTGCACAGGGCACTCTTTGCCCTGAATTTGAAAAGCAATTGCGGAAACTTGATAAATATCAGGACGTATGTCAGGATCTGGCTCAAGCATGTATCGAATTAAACAATGGAGTGCTCTACTATATCTGTAACATAAAAATATTTTATCTATACATCCAATCTACTTAATACATATATGTTATGTTATTCGTTTACATTATTTATTAAATAGTTAAATTAATTCGTTAGGTAATTAAAATTGGAGTAAAATTTGCGTCTACGTAACTTTTCACATACCTTGAATTATCCGGTATAGTGAAATTTCCAGATTGTATGGCAAGCGTGCTTTCGCCAAACGGTAGTGTAAAAAAGCAGAGTTTATACAACAAACATCCTAAAGCCTGAAAGACAGGAATTGTATGTAAAAGACTCGCCGATAAGATTCTTAATTTTATTTACATATCACTTCCTTTGAAAATAACACATTTAAAAAACGATTTTCGAATTATTAGCATAAATAAGTTAAATTGCGTCCAGATTATCGAGCCGAACCTTGGGCGAGTATTTCGGTAAGTATTTATTACGTGACATTGGCAAAAGACAATAAAATATTTACCGAAATGCTCGCGGCTTGAGATTCGACTCAACACTCGGTTCGATAATCTGAACGCATCTTTAGATGAATATTACCTTATCAATATTATAAAAAATAAATTATATTCTAAAAAAATTGTCGAGAAACGTTACAACTTCTAATTTGTTTCAAAAAATAGAATCGTAATAATTTTAAAAAGATTTAAAAGAAGTTAAAAAATCGTAATAACTCAAAGAATAGTGTAAGGGGTTACATGTACTGAAAGTGTAAAATGTAATAAATATTTGTTTCGAACAGTGCCAGTTGAATATTTAATAAATGTAATATACATATATTTATTTGATACAAAAACCATCCATTTGATTTAATTATTAAATTTTTTTATTTAGCAAATATTTATTGTCCATAAATAAATGTTATATTAGTACTTTAAACAATTATTTATTCAAATTTAGTACCTTTTTCTCAGTATCTCGGCGCCAAAGAATTGACGTATTTTGAGATATTTTTTGGGGGTAAGGAGTAAAATAAATTAAAAAACTAATAATTCCACATTCTTTAATATTTTATTTATATAAAAAATTGTTTTCGTCCAATTTGATTATAAATAACTTCCATAATCTGCAGCTGCGTTTACCTCTGCAAAAAAATCCCGGCTCCATGAGCAACATTCTAACTTTCTATGGAAAATTATTAAGGCTCGGTTTTTCATTATCTGGTTAATTTATGATTAGCCTTAATCCTTAAAAGGACTTCATCTACGATAATGTCACAGATGAAGTCCATTAAATGAAACATCAGGTTTTAAACTTAACCACAAATTAATAAAATGATAACGAAAAACTGGGCCTAAAAAGTATTAAAATTCCAGTATTGCCTTTTAAAATAATGTTGTAACTAAAGACCATCGATTCAACTTTTGGAACTTATGAAAAATAAAGATTAAGCCAATTTGGAAAAAAAAATCAATTTTTCGTCTAAAATTCAGATTTTTAAACTTATTAGGAAAATATTAAGTCAAATTTAAAAAAATAAGCCAATGGCCCTTAGGAACAACATTAGTTTAGAAAACAATATTGAAATTTTAATATTTTTGTATTTCTAGAGGAAGTCAGGATGTGCTGCTCATGGAACATCCTAACTTCCTGTAGAAATTTTCGTGTGATAGCTGCAGAGATAGGAAATCCACATATAACCAAATTGAAAATTTTTTTATATAAATAAAATATCAAGAAATAATGTTAAATTATTATAATTTTTCAATTTTACTCTCTTCCTGAAAAAAAAATCCCAAAATGATGATCAATTTTTCGGCGCCCAGTATATAACTTCTTTAAAAAAAATCGTCGCGACTCCAAACAGATAATTTTACAAAATTAAAAAATCGTCACGAAAGATGGTTTATTAAAGATTGTAAATCGAAATGACATTTGTTTATGTTAAAACGTGTTCTTTTTTGCCGATATTATTTTGTCAGTCAATAATTTTCTGTTTAAATAATTTTTTCTTCTTTCTGAGGAACTTAATTTTGAATTATGTCACTTTTAAAATAAAGAAACAATATCACGATCGTCACGTATGTGCGATGCATATAAACGTAAGTAATATATATTACTCACCCAAATATCTGCTTTTGTAGTAATAGGCTTTCCACAGTACATATCAACCATTTCAGGTGCTCTATAGCTTAAGGTGGTGTATTTCTTTATTTCTTCCTCGACTACAGCAGCACCGTGGACACCGGGACTAAGAACCTTTCCCGTCGCAGATCCAAAATCACATAAAACGTAATGACCGCTGTCAGCGAGCAATATATTTTCCACCTATCACAAGACAATTAAACATAGTTCACGATATTTTCGATGACATTACATAATATCCATTAATTAAGTAATTCACCTTGAGATCTCTATGAATTATGGGCGTTTGACAGTGATGCAATCTTGACACGGCTTCACAAACGTCACAAAAAATTTGTAAAACTTCCGATTCACTGAAACCTGTCTGCAACCTAGAAATAAGAAATTAAATTAATGTATAATTAATATACGTCATAAGTTTTAATATTATTAGATGAGCAAAAATAGTAATGGGTAATATTTTGCAATTATTTTTGAAAAATTAGATACAGACGTTATTATATTAGATATGACATTTATGTATATATACACACAATGTATATAAATATACACACATAAAATTGTCTAAATATTATTAAAAATAAAGAATGTGTTAAAAAAAGTTCTTCTAACCTGTTATTCATCATTTGAAGAACTTGGGATTTACAGTAAGGCATTAAAAGCAGAAGTTCGTGTATTCCTCCAGTGGTGTGAGTTATGCTACTATCTACATATCCTATGATATTTTTATGACCACTCAGGTTGCTCTACAAATAGAAATAATTGATTCAATTTTCAATCCACGCAATTAAAATGCCATATATTCCTTTATTTCCATTAAAAAAAAATTATAGCACGAACTAGCACTTCATCATTTACGAAAGTACTCACAGCAATTTGAATTTCTCTTTTGCACACATTGAGATCATGTTCATTGTTGACATACATTCGTTTAAGTGCATATCGTCCACCTGAGGCTTTGACCAAAAATACAATCGCAAATCCTCCTGTAAAACAACAGTTATCTTACATGAGACACACAGTAGAAAGGCAGAGAGAAAACAAATGCAAAACGTTTTCAGTATTTAATTATAGTCATATATATTCAAATTAAATTAAAGAAAAAATTTATAACCAGAATGAAAAAAATAGGAAATCTACAAAGTTACTGCGCATGTTGCGTGTGTAACTTGACACAGATACAATTACAAGAGTGGTAATAAAAGATACGATACTCTACTCGGCTTTATCTCAAAGTAAATTTGCTGATCAGACAATCAATTTGTTTGCCAGTTTCGGCTATATCGACATGTAACAATATACCTCCATCATCTGGCATTTCATAACAATGCAACTATTATATATAAAAAAACTTCTCGCAGTATTAGCTCCCTGAAACATAATTGACATCCTGATTTTCCAAATGGTATGAAACTGACACTTCACAATCCATGTATTTACATTCCTGAGAAGTAATGAACTTAGACCCTCGTTAGCAAAATATCAACTGTATTTACATCTTCACATATGAACGTTACTAAGCACAAAGACCCGCTTTAACCGAAAAATCTTCTTCTCTCTTGTTTATGTTTAAATATCTTAGATTTTTGTGTGAATCCTGCAGCGTCAGCTGTCTGAAAGGCAACTGATTATTTATTCCAGAGCAACATAGCTGACATTCCCTGGAACTGTGAATTCTGTCAATGGTGTAAAACGCACAGTTTGTGGTCGACATATCAAAAGTTAATGGCCCTTACACAAATCCAATTTAATACTAGAAATGATTTATTTTGGAGTATTAGAGAAGCACTATTGTTCAGAACTTATTAGTCCTCGAAATGAGTAATTAATCAGTATTAAATTTCTGTAAGGGGGAGCTTAATGATGTCCACCAAACACCCGCCCCGGATGCGAATGGAGATCGTATACCGTCGTTGGTTATCTCACACTCGCCGAGGACAACCCAGGAGAGGAGAGAGAGAGAGAGAGAGAGAGAGAGAGAGAGAGAGAGAGAGAGAGAAGCGGGACAGCCAGGCGTGGCGGAGGGCGGGCAAGGTTGCAGTGCAAAATAGAACAGAGGGGATCCATTCGCGTACACTTCCACTGGAGGCTGAAACACAGAGGAGCACACGCAAGAGCGGGAACGGGAGGAAGTGTCGATGTCGTCGTAAAATGTCAGAAAAGGAGCAACGTTCAAGAAAACGGCGTACCTTCTGCCAGGACCTCTTCGACGGTGACGGTGTGGCGGCCCACGACAAACACCTTCCCCAGGTAACTGTTGGGTTCCTTCGACGTGTTGTCGATCTTGGAGAATAGTTTCTTCATGCTGGCGCGCTTCGTCCTCGCCGTCGACGTCGATTTGACATAGGGCCCTTCGCGCTCCCGCTGCGCTCCGTTCCGCTCCGCTCGGCCGATCGCGCCGATCACCGCCCCCGGAACGGCACGGTACGGTACGGTACGATACGGTACGACGGCACGACGATCTAGTGCGGCGCTCTCTCGCGCGGCTGGACCTCTCCTCCTTCTCCGTATAGAGAGAGAGAGAGAGAGAGAGAGAGAGAGAGAGAGAGAGAGAACGAGAGGAAAGAGCGAGAGACCTGTCCCTGATCAACCGCAATAAGGTAGGTTTCCCGTCAACACGGTCTCCTTCTCGCGTATAGACTGACCACGGCGCACCTCCTCAACCGAAGGATATCGCCACGAAGGTGGTCATGATAACAGTTGTCAACGTATTATACATCACTCCTCCACCACCGTTCCTCGGTCGACATCAGTCGACATAACTCGGACCGCGAGCCGACTGCGCAGCCGCGCCTCCGCAGCGGCGACGTCGGAAACATATGTGCGCTACTTCCGGCCGAATGTCAAAACTGTCCGTTGGCTGCTTGGCTGGCGCGCGTCCGCCGGCTATCGTGACACGCTCTACAGTTCCTGCAGTAATTACTTATTATGGGAATTATATTATTATTGTATAACTATTGGGAACTGTATTATTGTCACACAGAAACTTATATTATTACAATTATTGTAGAAACCCTACTGTGGCGCCTCCGCCGTTCGTTCGTGCGTGTGCAACGGTGCGCTAAGGATCAGGTACAATTAGTACGAAAGATCGCGTTCAGATAGACACTTTTCCCGGCGTTGCGGAACTCACGGATGAGGATTCGAAATCCACGAAAGAACCTGGAAAAACTGCTTCTTCCGCGCGAAGGGAAAACTTATTACGCTCCTCGATACGCGGCCTGGAATACCGCTCGACTGTCGAAAACACCGCCGGCATGGCGTTTCTGCGAGTTACGTCATCGACCACGTGACTCGGGCCGCCCAGCACCCACACGGCATGACGACACCGACGACTCGCGTTCTGTTTGCTGCGACGCAAAACGTGGCACTCGGAGCGCTCGCTCAATTTTGATCCGGAGTCTCCGAACCCTAAAGTTGAATCTTCAATGTATTTCCCTCTTGATCGTCTTGTACGTTGATAATACAGAGCACGCGTACTAAAATATGTCATCTCTTTAATTTCCGTAGGGTGGAAAAACGAGCCATTCGTAACAAGAAACGAGTTAACGGACGCGACAGCCGGCGACTCTCGATCGACCGTCTACTTCGTCTGTTTCGATCATCTCGATATTTTTCGTTTATCTCGATCTCATCGTCGCAGAAGCGCAGATTCCGATGATTGACGTCTTATTGACGTTTCCATGAGGTTGTTTATTGCGTTAGTTAGAATTAAAACTTAATTTCCTTTTCGCTTTTACAACGATCGAGGCCAAATAACAGAACGCAGCTTTTCTTGTAGACATTAAAGGTTGTTTTATAGCATTTTATTCAGCTCGTACAATTCTCTAGCTGTTTCATAATTTGATGAAACAATGCGTTGTATACTCCGTTCGTATAAATTAAACGTGACAATGTCATGTCATCTACAGATATTTAATTGTTTAAAATATTTATATGCTTTTGTATATTTAATCGCACAAGTAATCACATTTATGACCTTTTAGAAATTTCTTGTTTAATATTGTTTTACATTTAACTTTGCTAATTTTATGTATAGTAGCGATTTAGCGACGAGCGACGAGCGATATCCAATTGAGAACTCTGCTATATATATATACATGCATCATCACCTGTAAAAAAACTAAACTACTTTTATTGGATGTCGTCACTCATCGTCCATCGCGTCAGTGTGCAGTAGGCATTAGTTTGGTTATAAAAAAAATAAACTTGTGAAAACGACGCGCGCGCAACTGACAGTCAAACGACGTCTGCTATACCTGCGCCGTTTGCATGCGCACCAATATATAGCTGTTTATAGCCTCGCGAGTGCTCTCAAACTCTCAAGTGCCCGCGAGCAAATAATCATGAACGGTTGGCTACGGTCCGGTTCAGAATTCGCGAGAGAACGGTGAGATATTTGCCCTCGGAGAGATGGTTTTTCGTAGAAAAGGGCAGAAGAAAGGGATTCGTGCTTCTAACTGCGTGTAGACTGGAGTAGACTAGAGTCGACAAGGGTGGATGAAAGCGATCGCTAACAACGCGATTTTGAGATCTCGTTTGACAAGTATCGTACATTACGTTTTGTCAATTATTGCATGACATTCGAACTCTCTGATTCACCGCTATTTGGCTAACTTGGCTAATTTCGCTCAATCGAGACACGTAAGTTTGATCTTGATCAAATTTTATTATAATCTGTTATAGAATCTGGTTACTTACGTTACACTAGATTAGTGCATGTACTAAAAATTGCTGTACGTGCATTAAATTAGCAAAACTAAATGTAAAGGCGTATAAATATTTTGAATTATTTAAATGTCCGATGACGATACCGGATGCTTTTTCCACAAGAAGCACGAACAACACAATGTGACACAATGAATCATTTCGACTGTTTTTCTTCTAGACAAAACATGTCCATTTCTACCAAAATGTAGATTAACTTTAATCTCGGTTTAACTTATTTTTTATCTTTTCCTGATTTTTAGAACAAGAGAAAAGGTAAGTTAAACCAAGGTTGAAGTTAATCTACATAGATAGAAGTGGGCAACAATTGACGGTCGGCATAGGATGCTTTCCATTTGGTAATACAAATTGACATGAGTTGACACAAGTACCATTCTGTTTTTGTCATTTATGGAATGTCAAGAAAGATAAAAATGACATCTGTATTAACTTGTGTCACAAATCATCACAAATGGAATGCATCCATAAACGTCATTCTATTCTTCTTGCATTCAATATATAACAGAAATGAAACGCACTTGTATCCATCTAATGTTTGCTTAATATTGATAAATAACAAAGAATAACGGGTGTTTTCCAGTAAGAGACACAGATGACATAATATAATAATGAATCTTTATTGTTATATTCATCCTTATTGCCAATGTTAAACAAAGATGAAATAATTCACTGTAATATCTATGGGTGCACCCCATGTGGTAATACAAGTCAGCAAAAATGTCGTCCTATCTTTCTTGGCATTCTATGAATAACAAAAACAAAACGATATTTAATAAATATTTAGAAGTACTACCTCGCGGAAAACACAGTTTTTTTTCAGTAATTAACAAACCTATTTATAAAAACACATGTACACAATGTTTTAAGAAGGAACATATGATTCTTGTGAGGAAAACGATAATGATAAAAAACAATAAAATCGACAATAGTACAGCATATATTTAAAATTTTAAATATCAATTTTATGTTGATTAAATACCGTTCTCAGTCGTTACCCAAATCTTCCGTCTTACTAAATTGATGAGTCTGATATATTTCAAATGGAAATTTACGAAGATTAGCAAAAACTCCGATAGATGTTCAGAAGTACTACTCCAAAACCATAGTTTTTTTCAGTAATTAGTACTAGTTATAAAAGGACATGTATACAATATTTTAAGAAGGAACTTATGCCTCTGTTATAATTTAAATTAATTAAAACAAAGAATTTTTTTTATGTTATATAAATGTATAACATTTTGAATCATGAATTATTCTTTGCTATAATTTAAATTATATAAGAAAATATATGTGTAATTGTCAAGTTTTTTTCCACAAGAACAATAAGTCCCTTCTTAAAACGTGTATATATTTTTTTAAGACTAGTTTTGTTAATTACTGAAAAAAATTACGATTTTTTATAGGGTAGTACTTCTGAACATTTACTCAATACTTGTACCGACTTGTGTCAAATGGAAAATACCCTAGGGCCAGTTGATATATCTTTAGATAAACTATGCAATAATTTATCTAATGTATAAACAAAACAATATAAGAACAAGAGAATAAGAGAGTAAAAAAGTAAGAGAGTGAGGTGAAGTTTATCAAAAGGTGGAACAACCCACCCTTAGGCTCAGTTTCACAACTCACGGTTACCGAGGTTCAACTTATTTCTCATCTCTTTCCAATTCTAGCATTAGAAAAAGATGAGGAATAAGTTAAACCTCGGTTAAGAGTTAACCGAGTTAATCATGAATTGTGAAATTGATCTTATACTTGTTTCCACCGATGTAGATTAACGTTAATCTCGGTTCAATAACATAAGTTAAACCGAGATTAAAGTTAATTTACGTTGATGGAAATGGGCATTAATGACACAAGTTAACAGTCAACATAAGTGTCGTTCTGTTTTTGTCACTCATTGAATGTCAAGAAAAATAGAATGTTTGTCAATTGGTCAGTAAGTAAAATATCCTTTGTTTCTTGCTGAAAAGCACTATTATTAAAGTTGATTACATTATGCCACTGCAAATATTTAATATAAAGCATTTTTTTAGCAAATATCTTTAACAATTTAGATATTTTATATAAAGCAGCCTTTAATATGCACTAATCTGAGTAACAGAATTCATTAGGTGACATTATATCGTCAATTTTTAGTAATTAAGTTTGTAATCAATTTTTATTTCACAGTGCAAGAGAAATATGGGAAAAAATTGTTTGCCTTTGTTCACCATACAAGTACAAGATTTTATTTCGATTAATAATGATATCATATCCAGCATTGTTGTTTTATTACTCAATATTGCATAAGAGGATTTCCTAAGGACTCCAGCTTTCTTTTACACATCCGGTGCAGGAATCAGTCGATATGTAAGTTTGTCCTTTGTTTACCAAATCTCTAATCAGATATATTGTGTATAATTTGATTTATTTGCTACAGTACTCACACAAGAGGCAGACAAGAAGTCATATACCTTTATTCATTATGAGCGAATTTGATGACTTGGAGCTCTTGGATATCCAAGCTGATATTCAAGCTCTTGATGAAGTTTTAGCCTTGTCTGCGAAAAAAAAATCTCAGCAACATGTTAGCAGCAATCAACAATCTGACGTTTCGTCGAATGTCGACGCTGAGGACGATGATGATTATGTCAACTATCTCCAAGCGAATCAAGAAATTGAAAAGTCTCTAAACGCTTACGAGATTAATACAAGATTGATCTCGGGCTTGACGATAGCTAAGAAGAAATTGACTGATCTGCTGGAAGAGTGTGAGCAGAAGATAAGGCTACTGGACGAGAAGTTGAAGAAGTCCACAGATGAGTCGAGCTCAAATTCCAAATTGGCAATCAGCAATGCTGGTATACCATACTTCAAAGACAAGGATTATTTCAGTGCTCCCAAGAATATCGATACTAAGCGAAAGGAAGCTGTTGGTGAGGTGTTCCTTTTGAATTTGAAAAAGCCTAACCGCTGGTCAGGAAAAGACAGAGAAATGCTTTTAAGTGCCATAAACAATCAAGCTATCGAATCTGTACTGTCTGGAGGATTCAACAAAGAAATTAACAAGCCGACATCTGATAATCAAACTAAGAAAATTAAATTAGTGCTTCCCAGAAACTTTAACGAGATGGTGGGGCCGTTGGGTGCGAGAGAATTCGATTGGCACAAGATTTCCGTTATGGATTTCGATAATAAACATTCACCAGGCGAATGCAGGGCTATGTGGAATGTCTATCTGCATCCTGCTTTCAAGAAAAGTGAATGGACAAATGTAGAAGATAAGAAACTGCTGAAATGTATTAGAGAATATAAATATCAAGATTGGGATGC